GGAAGCGAAGCAGACTGACATTTGTGCTGATGGTGCCCGTCGGGGCGAAGCTCCATTTTTAGGCAGGCATCCGAGCGGCCGCCCCGGCACTGGGTGCTGCCGGCTGGTCCGGGTTGGGAGGCAGAGGCGGCTCTCCCGGACCGGCCGCCCCTGCGTCCCGCCGGAGGGGCAGAACAGCGCTCCAGCGCCGGGCGGTTTTCCCGGATGGCACGCGGATGTCCTGGAAGGGGAGCCTAAAAGTAGTCGTCTCTGGGTGGCACAGCGCTGGGGTTTGCATCTCGATGGGGTCGTCCCCGCTGGCGCTCGGCTGCATGGGCAAGGGAGGGAGGCTCGTGGCAAAGCCGAAGAGGGTTTCTCCCCCTTGTCGTCTTTCCTTTGGAAAGAAAGATGCTGTAATTATATTCAGGGCTTTTCTGGTGGTGGAAGGATGTATGGAAAAAGTTATTCATCACTGACTGAACCCTATTTTCATTAGTAAGCTAACATCATTTTCTGTTAAGAAATCCAGCTGCTATTGGATTAAAACTTCCATTCGAAGGTCCTCTGTGCTCTGTTAAAAAATCAAATAAAGTCAGGTGGTGAGGGAGTTGTGGTGTTTCTACAGCAGACTTGGGCTGAAACCTAGAGTATTTGGGGATGGTTCAGATGCTTCCTTAGTCAGGTAGACCTAACTGTTGGGGTGGATTGGACAATCAGAAGAGACTCTCTCTGAGACTTCTCTGCTCCCAAATGATTTAAAAATAAATAAATTTAGAGAACAGCTTGCAGTTTGCTGATATTCTGGTTCTGTATCAGGCACTTTAATGTGCATTTGCATTTAAATCAGCTGCTGCTCCTCTTATTCATTTCGGAGCAAACAGCACTTAGTCCAGCTTTGCTGCTGGCATTTTGCACAAAGCTGGTATCAAATCCTTGTCCTCTGTATACTGGTTTAGATACTAGTATCTGCTGAGCACAGAGGGCAACATGGCAGGGGAAAGAGCAATGCACATGCATTTGTTTTTTGTTCTGACCAAATTTTTCATGCTCAGAAGAAGAAAGTGACTAAGAAAAACCGCTGTCTGTGTGGAAGCATCTAGCTTTCCTTTCACGTTTTTGCAAGCCACCTCTGGGTTGTTCTCTTTAAAATAGAGTTATTCTCCTGGAAGCCAGGGTTACTATGGCAATTTGATGAGGAGTTTTTTCCTTCCCTTCTTTCCTTCTCTCCGTCTTGGTTCCTTCCTTGCAGAATCCCAAGTGGCCAAATTCTTTGGTGCTTTCAAGATATATGACGTTTCTGATGGTGAAAGGCACATGTCTTTTTATACATACCATTGACTGCACACTCTTCGTTATGAATGACTTCTGAAAAAGCGTTAAAAGGAGTCCCTTTTCTCAGCCCTTCAAAACTGTGGGCTGTTGCATGGTGTTGGCGCTATTCCAAGCCTGTCACCTTTTTGTAACAGCAGTAACGTATGCAATCTCTTCTTCACCTCTCCCGACCAGTGTAGAAACCCAAATCTTCTTGGGATCTCGTTTCCCATGGGAGCCACAGAAAGACTTTTACTTTAAAAATGGCACTGATTAATTTTGGGACAGTCTTTATTCCAAGAGGATAAATAAACATGGGTTTTATTATGTTCTTAGACAATGAATGAGAAATACCAGGCTGGATTGGGGTAGGTTTCTGCTAAGCCACTAGCTACCTTATTTGGAGCTGAGTTTGAGCAGGGACCGACTTTCACTACTTTTTCTATAGCAAGTATGCGGAGGACCCTGGGCGCTCCGAGGCAGGCGAGATAAGGCAATGTCCAGGCAGGACGGTGGCACTGACTCCTAAAGAGGAAGTGTTAAAGCTGATTGCTTTGGAGGCAAAGGAGCATGAAAGGCTGGCAAAATCCCCTTCTTCCTCCCCAAAGAGCCAGGCAGGATGGTAGGTGCTGGTGGGGATTTTTTCATTCCATTAACTGGATGTGGCAGCTCAAAGCCACTAAGTCAACCTGCCCTGTAAATTTTGCACAAATTGTGTGTTTTCATCAAAGTGGTTTGCTTTTTTTTTTTGATGGTGCCCCCACAAGAATCTCTTAGCTGGGTTTGCAGAAGTTTGCAAGGAAGAAAACCACCAACTGACCCCAGAAGGGGCAAAGTTAGGCTACCACTGAGAATCTTTTCTGGGAATCCTAGTCCGTATATTCATTTAGGCTCTGCTGCAATTGCTCAGTTGTAGACTTTGTGCTGTTACTGAACCAGCTCTTTTTTTTTTTTAAATGCAATCTTTGTAGTGCCTTGCATGCTTGTAGCTGACCTGCCTCAAAGACACTTTTGAAAAAAGCTTCTTTCCTCCTCTATACTGCTCAGTAGTTATCTTTCCTTTATATATGTGCGCTTTTTTTAGATGAGTTGTTTTTTAAAAAAAAAAAAGACATTCAAAATTAAATTGGCATTTGAAAACGATTCTTCCAGCATTTCTTAGAAGTGATCTTGAATTCTTAAGGCGTTTCTTCTTTCACGTATGGTTTTTCTTCCCCTCCCGCAATGGTTTCGGTTGAAGGGGGTGGATATGTAATGGATTAGCACAGTGAGCCCTACTAGAAATGCCTTGGATCTGCTGAAAAGTCTGTTCAGGCTAGGCCGTGTTTTCTACTTAGTCAGCTAGTGGAGCTGCTCAGCTCTGCCAAACGCATCTGTAGTAGCCTCCAAAAGTGGTATGTTGTGCCAGGGCTTGAACCAAGGTACGTGTCTCGCTGGGTGGGACAAAGAGAAAAACCCAAATAACCTTGAAAAAGGGAATTATGTCTTGCTATGCCCTGTCATGTTTGCCAGCCACCGAAGCTGGTGAACACGTAGCGCTGGAGGAGCGGGAAGGAAAGGGTTATCCCCATTTACTGCTCAGAATCCACCTTTCCTCCTGTGCGGGCCTACAGTAAGATTTCTCTTTTGTACTATGTTACGAAATTAAACGGTCAGTCAACCGAGCAGTACAAGCTGAGAGCCCCAGGGGTTGGCATACTCATGGGATACCTTGGGAAAAAGACTGTAGATAGTAGTCAAAGAGATGCAGCAAGGACAGCCAGTGCAAATAACGGGCTATCCCCTTTGGACATTGAACATCCCAGAGATCTGTGGGGAGGGAAATAATAGGATATAACTAAAGGATGCTTCTGAAAACGTTGCTGGCTCCTGTTAAATTAGGCTTCTTAAGTCATTCCTGTGCTCTTAAACGCTGTGCTAAACGTCAAGATACGGACATCCTGGGGAACTGTGTTTTGTGGGGGGTTTTGAAGTCGTTTTGGATTCCCCGCTAACAGGTGCTGCAGCAGTTCAAAGTGCTGCAAAGATTTTTTTGCTATTACTCTGCATTGCTCTGTTGCTATTCATCTGCATTTAAATGAATGCATTTCTGTCATTTTGATTGATCTAGTCTACTCCAAGGCAGAACAGCTTTTAAGGGTGTAGAAAGCTCTATCCCATTAAGTCCGCTCAAACTTGAAACCTAAACCTAGAGGGGAAGTAGCATACTTGAGGTCTGACGAGAGACTCGGGGCAGAGAGAAAAGCTGACAGTTCTCCCAAACACTTTCTTATCCCTACTCTGGCCTTTCCTTTCTACGCAGTTTCTAAAAAGTACAAATGGAAGGGTGAAATGAGATGTGCACTACCTCATTGTAAATACAATGCTGTTTGAGGGACTTAAGCTATACACTCGAGGTTTTATAATCTAATGGTATCAAAAAAAAAAAAAAACCCACACAGGAATGTGTGTGTCCATAATGGATAAATGAAATTACCAGATAACGGCCCACTGAGAACTGAAGGTTAAAAAAAAAAAAGGCTCCTAAAGGCTTCGTTCGTAGGTCTCTTGGCGCTTAGGGAAGACTTAATATTCCATTTTAACAGATATAAAATAACTCGTAGGAAAGAAGTCACCTACGGGAACTGGAAAGCACATTGCACAGGCTCAGAGTGAAAGGTCCTCTAATAAATCCATGAAGAGTATGGGAATCATGCGATCCATGCGACCTGGAAAAAGTTGTAAGCTGCGTATGGTTCAAAACACGTTGCAGAGGTGGGACAAGGCTAAATGAAAAGGATAATCTGTAAGTTAAAGGTCTCCCTAATGGATCTAAGGGTTGCACTTATCTGGAAAGGCTAATGCTCCTGGAAAATATAAGGGGAACCACTAATAGCAAGCAGCCAACAGGTGGGATGAGAGCTGGGAGAAGTGAAGATGTTTCCCGTCAATAACTGAATGTAGGGGAGGGTAGCGCTGTGGGCTTTTTTGCAGGGGGGAAGGAGGGTTGGGAGACTTGACTGTGTTTACCGCAGCCGCGAGCAGGAGCGGGCGCTTCTGCAAGCGTGGTGTGAGCGGCGCGGGCAGGAGAGGGCGGGAGTCCTGCCTGGCTCTCCGCTGTGGCAGCCCGTGGCCCTTGTGGCAAACCAGCAGGCACGTTAAGTGCTCCCTGGCACACGTTCAGGGTATCGCTGGTTTGAAACTGGGCCCATTTTCCATGGCGGGAGGGAAACTTTTTTTTTTTTTAAAATAACTGCAGGCCTACAAGAGAAAACAAGAACTTGTAGCAAGCTGAAAGGGAAGCTCAGATTATCTCGCAACTACGAGCTGAGAAATGGACCACGACGGGTATTTAGGGCCTCTCTTGTGCCTGAGACGGTTCCTTAGAAGCAGTCCTCGCGCTCTTTGTGCCGCTCCTCGCAGGGGCATCCTGGCAGGGTTTGCTGAGGCTGCTGGAAAGGGAGGGGTTCGGGAGAGCGAGGCACTCCCTTGGGAGCAGACCACCTCTGGTGTGGGGGACACAAGTCTTTTGCCCCCGCGCGAAAACTAAGAGTAGCGGCAAAGCTGTTTCTCCGCGCTCCCGTGCCTGCCAACCTATCTCGGAGCAGCTTCATGGAGCGAGACCTCTTTCCCCAGTCTGTGTCGCCCGAGAGGTGTGGACCAAGGCCTCTCCAGCAGCGTGGTGGACGGAGCAGTGCTTAATGTGTGGTTCCCCTCTTCTTTCTCCCTAGTTGGCCGGAGGAATCATCCTGGGAGTGGCCCTATGGCTCCGTCATGATTCACAGACTACGAATATCCTCTACCTGCAGCTGGGGGACAAGCAAGCCCCCAACACCTTCTACGTTGGTAAGTAGCCTCCAAGGAGAAGGGTGGGGGGAGCTGGCCCTGCTCTGTCGGTGGTTCACCCCTGGGTGATTTGTTGGGGTGGACCACGATGTGCCCAGAAGCACAACAGAAAGGATGATATTGTACAGAGAGGTTTGTAGTGGGGGAGGAACAGACTCAGCAAGATGCAGCATAAGGTAGAACTTAAAACATCTATTGCTTCCCCAGTGTTCCCCAAAACATCTACCACATGCAAATCAAAATGTTTGTTAGATGTCACCTGTGCCATGTCCGAAACGTAGAGGCCAAAGTCCCAGGGGCTACAAGTGCAAAAGACCTTTAGTTCTGGTCAGTGTTTCTGTGTAACAGATTTTCTTTGACGTTATTCTTGCTTATGGTCTCCTCTACAACGCGTTGGCTTCAGCAGAGGGTGCGTGATTGATCTGGAAAGATGGGGGATTTGGATGCATGTCTTGTTTCCTCGTCCCTCTCCCGAAGGGATATAAAAGTAGCTGAAGGAACAGTTGGCAATGGAAAGTACAACTCAGAGGAGCGTGACTCATGTTCTCCAGGAGGGGCCGGTGGAGCGTCTGTATGTATGTTTAAGCTTAGTATGATTTTATTTGATTTGACAGCAGGCTGACTGGCTGGAAGAAGAAAGCCCATATTTTGTCCTGCTGTCCAGCAGTCTAGCTTGCGAGCCGCTTCCAGGCGGTCTCCGGCCTCCGCTTTGGGGCCGATGCCGGCTGGGCACGGTGCGTGGT